CCCCCCCCCCCCCCCCCCCCCCCCCTCGGCAGCAGCAGCAGGGAAAACGTCCTGCGGACGACAACAACATCGTACCCCGAAATATATCCCGCTCTCGGCCCATGGAGGAATGAATGCAACGAGAGATGGGGCGTTTTACTGCAGATAGATGGTCAATCTGCCGGGAAACGAGACCACCACTATTAATACCAGTCTTCCCTCGGCGGAGGCACCCAAGACGTCACTTTCGTGAGGTGGTTAACGTAGTACTTCCGCCCGTCCGCGTGCGTCCGGACCTCGATGTACCCCGGCAGGCCACCCTCGCCAACCCCCCCCCCCCCCCCCCCCCCCCCCCCCCCCCCCCCCCCCCCCCCCCCCCCCCCCCCCNGGCGACGCCGCTCGGTGAGTAGCAGCACCACCACCAGGGTACGGTACCTTCTGCTCACCAGCCGCCCCCTCAGGCGGGGCCCATTGCGTGATCCTGAGTTCGTGGTTGACGAAGTATTCGCGCCCCGCAGGGGTATTCCTCTTCTCCCAGCCCCGCGGGAGGCCCGCGGGGCTGCCCCCGCCCCCAGACGTGCTCGAAAGGCTCTCGTCCAAGCCGTCACCGGCACCGGCACCGGCACCCGCGCTTCTGGCGGCAGCGGCGTCGCTGGACGTACGGCTGTCGCGACGGCGGCGTGACTTGGGAGGGGACCACCTGACGGCGTTAGTTTTGGGATTGACGAAGAACCGTAGGCCGGCAGCGGTGTACTGCTCCACGAACTGGCAAGAGGAGGGGAAGGGGGGGGGAGAAGGGAGAGGGCGAAAGGGGGGTTGTGAGAATATGCACCCGGGATGGATAATTATGCTTGAGCAGTGCAGTGAGCGCGGGGCGAGTGGAACAGCTTGAAACCTGTTTATACAACACAAACGAGTGCCAGGAGGCACATAACTTGCTTCGGAGTGTCGCAGGGGTTCCGCAGTCGAGTGTGGGCACCGGGATGGGGGAGTGGGACAGCCGAGAGGGGGGGGGGGGGGGGGGGGGG